TTCCAGTCTTTTGAACAAAGAGGCTGTCAAATCTTACAGTACCACTGCATTTTTCAGAAGCACGCCAACGCGTTATTGTAACTGATGGAGTATTTTCTATGGATGGTGATGTTGCACCGTTGAAGGAGATCTGCGATCTAGCCGATAAGTAAGAAATTTAGCGTCTCGGAAAAAATTTTCTTACCATTCCGTAGAAGTAGCTGGATTTCCGCTAATCCTAAAAACAAGAGCCATCTCCCGACGAGCGACTTTCGCGCTGTGGGCGGAGTTCACTAATTCTAAAGCCTTCATTTTTTTTACTCGCTTCGAAACTTATCCGACTTTTTGCGTTTTTCTTTTTAGATATAACGCTATTGTGTTTGTTGATGAATGCCACGCCAGCGGATTTTTCGGCCCCACAGGAAGAGGCACTGAAGACGCTTTAGGTTTGGAAATTTTTTTCACTGCATTGAAACTTTACTTTAGTTCCACTTTCCATTCTTACTATTGTGACTCTTAATCAGAACACGATTTCACTTTATCAGCTACTCTATCAGAGTTTTGCTTTCCAGGGATGAAAGGGCGCGTCGATATCATCAACTCGACATTAGGTAAAGCTCTTGGCGGCTCCATGGGAGGATACACAACTGGCAAGTTGATCTCCACTGAAGCTCAATCTCTCATTTCATTTATGATTTCGCTCAAAAAGGAGTACTTAAATGCAATTAGTCAGCAGTCAGCATCTTCAAAAAGCTCAAGAGGCTTCATGAGGCACGAGATCAAGTTTTTTCTAAATTTCAGTTTAAAATCATATTTTGCGTGGATAGTGATCCTTCTGATAGGGAGAGTATGCCCCTAGTTATGCCTTGCATTCACTCTTATTACAGGTATTATGTCACATAATCACTGAACCGGGATGAACTTGGACGATGGGCGGGGCTTGCATGATGGGGGAGGAACATACGAAACCTGAGAATCCTCCCATTGGGTTCTTACAGATTATAAGAGGGAGGGGCACAAGACTGTTGCGGAAACGTATCAGCTTTATTAGAAAAAGATGTGATTTGAGCGTAGTTTGGGACCGAGTCGCGTCATCGTGCAAACTAGCATAGCTTTCTCAGTTCGTTGAATTTACATTTTCAAAACTGGCACGTTAGATCTTTGAGAAATATACCGCTTGAGGTGATGGTGACCTCACTTCTAGGGAGAAACGTACAACTGCCTCGTACGAGTCCTGAGGCGAACGCGTTTCACGCGGCACCATTTGCAACGTCTCTTTTGCCAACCTGGCCACTACTTCGGAAATCCTGAATCACACCCACACCTTATATACTTTGCTCTGGGTCCTGCTTTCGTTGGATTCTCCATGTTTTATTCATCCTTCAATTGCCCTTGCCTAGGTTTGCAATAATGCCAAGCAAATTATGTTCGTCTCAATTCATAAGAAAACCAGTCTTGTCATGAACACAGTCCAACTATAATAGTTTCGCATGAACATCGGGTTGTAGATGGTGTAGCTCGCAACGCAAACTTCAGAGAACCACATCCACTTATTAGCGCCGGAACTATTCCAAGGCACACCCACGTTTGAAAATAGCTACTACTAATAGTAGACGGTAAATAACAAAAAAGTAAAAAAAAACACACAAAAAACCCCGTTTGCTATAGGACTTTATTCTGAACCCACTTGCTGCAGGCGCGACGGTCGGAACGATTCTCACGTTTTGTTATCAGCTGTTCCTGTTATCACCTCACTCTCAACATTCGAAGCGGGAGAGTTAGTAGCGGAACAAGTGCACAGCAAGCCCTTAGAAATGAATGTTGGGCGCTGCGTTGGCCTCAGAACGGGGAAACTATTTTCGTCCGGAAGCGGGTCGCGCTTTCCTCACGTATCTTCGAAATGCTTAGGTGTACATTCCTCACATGCTTCCGTCATGGGATACATGTCCGGAGGCAAGGCTCGAGTGCCTTTGGACGCATTCTCAGAAGGCGTGACACGTCGTCCTCTTCCATCCCTCGTATTACCAAAAAGCCTGGGTTGTGGAGTCATCCAGCTTGCACAACTACTGTGCCTACCAAGTGAATGAAGAGTGCGCTGAGGCCGCCATCTACCAAACTACCCCCTCCCCCGTCAAGATGACACCTTCACCCAGCTATTTAGGGTGTTGGTTAATATATGCGTGAAATCGCTTTGAAATCTCATCCATATTTGAGGGCTTCAGTCCTGAGTGTTCAGAATTTTAAAAAAACTTTGTAATTTTTTTCCTTTTCCATACATCGCCAGTTATGGAGCCAATATCTGAAGCAATTTGCTACAACCTGTAGCAGCAAAATGTTGGTTCTGAATAAACCTCAATTTGTCGTTTTAGACTCAAAAGGTGTAAATTAAGGCGCATCATTTCGAACATGTTACATATTTTACATTCAAGGCACCAGGCCTCATTTTAAGCTTTTAATTAGTTTTGATTTAACCCTAAAACAAATTGCCTTGCAGGCCCCAAGCCACTGATTGACCTTCTCAGACAGAGATCCAGGCCGTATCTTTTCTCCAACTCTCTAGCTCCAAGCATCGTTGGCTCCAGTATCAAAGTGAGTTTCCTTTATTCCCGACATTCTCATGTACATTATAGCGTTGTTCAAACGAAGGAAACATGTTGAGGTTTTCGACCTCCTCATGAACGACCCCTCGTTCATTGGTTCATTGAAAACAAACGTTCAGCGATTCAGGTGAGCTTTCTATTCGCCGAGACGTCCGTTCAAGTGTTCAAGACAAAACAATAGTTTAGGTCTAAAATGACTGAACTAGGCTTCAAAGTCCTCGGCAACGACAGTACACATCCTATCTGTCCGGTTCTTTTGGGAGACGCCAGGTACATTTAAGACAAAACGCAGTTTTCTTGTACCTTGCTTTTCTAAGAGGTAGGAATGAAGAGCTCTGCACAAAGACAACCTGTACATTCACCTCTGTGGATCCTGGTCCTTGCCTTATGTGAGCTGAATGAGTACGCAGCTGCAGTAGCGTGCCAGTTTCTCCTCTCAAAAGGCTACCGAGGAGGGCTAGTGGGTAGTGAACCCCGTTTGCGGTCTCCTCTCTTCGCCAGCGTTTGACGCACGCCCAGCCATAGCCAAAGGCGCTAACTGTCGCCTTGGCTTGTGTATCTTTGAGCTCTCCCTATGTACCACGAATTGATGGATGTACCACGAATTCGACTGCTACTGGTTTTATTTGTGGTACTTGAATTGAGCCCATACATTATGGAATTTGTGGATTAATACACCGGTCCTCAATGTAATCTTCTTCTCCTGACCATTAAGCTTCGCCCCGCATCGTCACGGGGCCCGCTACCCTTTCTATTCTAGGCATCCTCCACCATTGTCCTAATTTCGGGAGAGGGTCTTAATGAACTCCTTATCTCTTTTCTAAGCCTCCCTTTCATTACTTACCGGAGTCCATTTCCTCCCTTATCGAGTCAAGTGTCTGATCAGCTCGTTTGTAAACACTCTTCGTGGGTGGTACTTCGTAGCATTCGACATCCTTTCAAGCTTGAAATGACGGCTAGCTTTACTATTGCTAGGCAACTAGCGTTCGTTGCGAGATATGGTTGCTCCAGACTGTGCGGCATTCATATGGTCTTCCGCCCAGGTACCGCTTCGACATTTTCGGACTTGTGGGAAGGATGGGAAGAATAAGTAGGATCCATCTCGCAGGTTACTGCACAGAATATCATTGGCTCCACATATGGGGTCGTTCAAGTGGCATGTAGCACCGTTCAAAGCCTCAGATAACCACCCTGCCGTGAAATGTTTTTATGAGAAAGCGGCCACCTCAACAAACAAGCCTTTCTGATCTATGCCATCTCTAAACTTGCCATTTGAAGTTAAAATGAAAGAAAGTACGGAACTGCTGAGGGTTTCCATTGTTATAGACTGGCTTCCGAAATGGCTGACGCCCTACTCAAGAAAGGGATCTACGTGATTGGTTTCAGTTACCCAGTGGTTCCCACTGGAAAGGCCCGCATCAGAGTTCAGTCGGTGACATTTAACTCTTTTTAGTAATAGTTTCTGGGTTTACAATCTACTCTTCATTCCTCGAAAGAGCCTTATTGATCACTAGAAAGAAGGTATTGCTTGCCACGCGCTCACTTGTTAATTTTTAAAAAACTAATGGAACATGGGATGGGAAATCCTCCGATTCCTTTTGGGTCAGTAGGTCCGTCAATATACCTAGATACACACAAAACGGACAACTGACGGATTGTTTTGGTTAGGTTCATCTCTTCAATAAACTGAAGGAGTGTGCAGTCACGATAATCGTGCAGAATAAATGGAAGTTCCTGATTACTGTTAAAGAGAAGCGCCTTTGCGAAATTGTGTGTCGAGGAGGTACAGCATCATGCATGTGTGACAGTGATGGTGTAGTACGACCCCCCCCTCTCCGACAGAGGGATCCATATACGACCCCTCCCCTCCTGAAAGGGGGTCTCGGTACGACTTCCCCCTTCAAAAAAACATGCCTACACCTACCAATTCTCAACATTTTCCACTATGTTTCACCCAAAGATTTTCGCATGCGTGGCGAAGGGGGGTATATGCGAATCGCCAATGTGAGAAGGGAAAACTTTTGAACTATCCACCCGAGTTCCTAATAAATACCCAAACTCCTCTCCCAAGCGACAACCATACGACCCCCTCCCAGTGGCAAGGTACGGACCCCCTAGTGTTTCACCCAACGACGCTGGTATCTTGGTGTTCGAGCAAATTTATGAAGAGAAACTGTTCATCAAACAAAGTATACATCGAATGCACATTCAGCTGTACTTGTAATCTTTTCCAGTCTTAAATATACAATAGAGTAAAGAAATTTTGCTGGACTTGGGGCGACGTTTGCGGGGTTTGAGGGTTGAGTTTGGAGCCATGTAGCTACTCCTTACCGAAAGGCAGTTAATACTCTGGAGTGCGAACGGACGGTTTTCAGTTCATTAGATGGGAAGTGCATATCTTTTTTTGCTTTCGACTACCTGGTCTCTGGCATTCCGCATTTTTCAAAACATGGTGGTGGAGGTGCATGTTGATTTCTGCGCAGTCACCTGTTTACCAAGGTATTACGCTCTTAGCCTAGATGATTGTCGCGGGACTTACAGGTTATTTCGAACCAGTTCGTTCCTAGCATCAAGGTCTAATGCCGGCTATTTACGACTTACAATTCGATCTTCAAAATTCAAACAAGCTGAATCGATGCGGCGACTCTTGAGCCCTTTCTAAGAGCCAGCCGGAGAGGTTGTGAAAACGAAAAGCGTGCGTTAATTCATACCTGTAGAAAGAGAGCAAGGTAAGATTAAGACTGGAGTAGAAGGAACGGCGCGTGAACGCGCAAGCGTGCTAGTAGGTCGAACTCAAGAAGGCTCATGTAGGACGCGACCGTTCACCGGACGTGGGTTTATCGTCTTTGGACCTCTGTAGGAAAATATTCGTTTACTTCGTATATCATAGTACATCATAATAATTGAGCAAATAACCGTCTGAACATGAAACACGTGAAAGAGGCGCCAAAAAATTTATTGCAAAAAACTCAAAAGACTCAAAAGAATCCAAAAGTTCTTGCAAAAAATTTTTGTTTCTAATACTTCCTTCGAATATTTCGGTGCCTAGCACCTTCCTCAGCGATCTGAAATACTATAGTTAGTCTCTGCAACCCGAATCCCGGATCTTGTCTTCTTATCTAGCGTAACAATAGAATCATGACGCAATTATCGGATTCGGGTTGCAGACGACTAACTATAGTATTTCAGATCGCTGAGGAAGGTGCTAGGCACCGAAATATTCGAAGGAAGTATTAGAAACAAAAATTTTTGCAAGAACTTTTGGATTCTTTTGAGTCTTTTGAGTTTTTTGCAATAAATTTTTTGGCGCCTCTTTCACGTGTTTCATGTTCAGATTACAATGAGGCTCCGGGACAGCACCATATTAAGAAATAATCGTCGCTTGGATGGCGAGTATGCAATAAGAATTGGAATCAACTAGCAGGTACATGTGATGGTCTTAGCGAGCTTCTTTTTAGGGGCATAGCGCTTCCGGAGAGGAGAGTAAACCGTGCTTTCCTATACTTACGCCATTTACTTATATCAATATATAATATAATATATGTGCCAGAGGGCTGCTGCAGCACATACCACGAACAAGTTGATATCGCGTGTCAGCTGTTTCGAAGAATGTCGGAAGGAAGCTCGGTGTTATCTGCATACAGAACGCATAAAAACCATGCCGCGTTCGCTTTCTTGTCAACTCGTAGGTAATCAAAGTAGAATCACTGACGCAATTAGAACTTTCGCTTCAGGCGAGAGCTTGAACCAAACACGAAATTCTTTTTGAGTCTCGCAAGCTATTTTCCCATGATGTAGTTGATCTAGGCATCATTTATCTATCCAACATGCGGTGGTTTCATCACGCTAAGCAGCGTTCATAGCTTTGCGACCATAGAAAGAAATGCAGGAATCTGCGGAAATGACGAAAAGCATTATATACATATCGATTTGAAGAAATGCAGAAATGCGGAAACTGCAGAAGTGCGGAAAGTGCAGGAAATGAAACGAAAAAGGCATTACATACGTATCGATTTGAAGAAATGCAGAAATGCCGAAACTGCAGAAGTGCGGAATCTGCAGAAATGACGAAAAGCAATTAGATACGTATCGATTTTCCGCAATTCGGCATTTCTGCATTTCTTCAGATTCCGCATTTCTGCATTTCTTCAAATCGATACGTATCTAATGCTTTTCGTCATTTCTGCAGATTCCGCATTTCTTCATTTCTGCATTTCTGCATTTCTTCATGGTCGCAAGCTATGAACGCGGCCTAACGCCAGGTACAGCTAGGTCGCGTACATCGGGGGTAGCTGAGTTGTTGTGAAGGAATGCGAATCGGACAACTCTGGACATTGGCTGGACGCAAAATATCATCTACCCACCCCTACCCTCTACTGTAAGTGACGCCTCTCAAAATTTCGCAGCCTCTACCGATTTGCAACTTGATCGCATTTGTAGTGCGGGACATCCGCGCGACGAATTAGCAGAATATTTCTAACTAGTTCACTAGGCACATTGCAACAGTCATGCTGGACCAATTGGGTCCCCATGCCATGCCACTTCCTGAGAGACTGCTTGTGTAGTGACATTAGTAGTGAATGAAGTAACCAACACCAACTATGTTGAATACGCTCGCGAAGCAAGATCAAGTTGGAGTTGTTTTGAATTATCCACTATCAGTAGGTAGTTAAGGGTAGAGGTATAAATAGAGAGACAGGCTCATTTCGACTCATTTTTATAACTCATGTCGGCGGACAACTTGATGT